CTCTGCACTCAGGGATCATGTGGGATGCCAGAGATCAAAGCCAGGTTGGCCAGGCAAGGCAAACAGATGCATCTCCTCACTCCAGCCCATTACCCTGCCTTTTGACAATAGTCAGTGAGACAGACATTCTCAAGTAACTTCCCTTCGTTCTCTGACTCTACCCACTGTGCTTCCTTTATTCTTTTTGAAATACGGTTGGATTCAGCTGTTTCCAGTTGCCTTCCACTTTGTTTTCATAAAATACTTCTTGAATTTCATTTTATTTTTAATATGTAAACCATTATTAATATACTTCCTAGAACTCAAAACTATAGCAGGAAAGACTCCTGGAGGTGCGAGCGACTCCTTCCGGTTTCCCTCCTGCAATATTCTACCCACCGGCCTCCTGCGGGTGATTTCATTCCATTCTGCTTTTGTTTTTCGTGTGTGTGTGTGTGTGTGTGTGTGTGTGTGTGTGTGTGTGTGTTGGTGGGGGCGGGGGACGACAAAAATAAGCAGAAAAGAAAACTTACCTTTTTTTTTTCTAATTGTCATTTTTTGGTTCTGGTTTTGGGGCTACACCCAGCAGTGCTCAGGACATTCTTCGCTCTGCACTCAGGGATCACTCCTGGCGGGTTCAGGGACCGTTTGGGGTCACTGGGCATCGAACCCAGGCCAGCCACATGCAAGGCAGGCACCCTACCTGCTGTACCATCTCTCCAGCCCCTGTTTTCTTCCTTTTAAAATAAAAATGTATAATATGAAAGATTGGCTGCTACACACTTTGCTTTTTTAACCCTCTTAACAGTATATCCTAGAAGTCAATTTCAGATCAATTCTTTGAACTCATTTCCACACTCTTGTATAGTATCTGTGTGTGTGTGTGTGTGTGTGTGTGTGTGTGTGTGTGTGTGTGTAAGAGAGAAAGAGAGAGAGAATATATGTATGTGTGTTCCTTAACGTATTCATTCTGTGTTTGGACATTTAGATAAGTTCCAGCATGTTAAAAATATTAATACTATGATTAATAACCTTATATATGTATTATTTTTATATTTTTGGAAGACGATCTTGAGGGTAAATTTCTGAGAATGGTATTGATAGGTGGAAAGATATATATATATAGTTGTGTTGTATTTTGCCAAGTCCCTGCCATGAAACTTGTATCATTTTTCATTTTCATAAAATAAGGACAGAGTGCCTGCTTCCCCATAGCTTTACCAATCAGTGTTTGTCAAGCTTTGTGATTCTTGGAGGTGGGGAGAGGTTTGGGCCCTAGCTACTTCCACCCTTGAGGTCAGCTGTATGAAGACAAGCATCTTAACCTCCATGCTATCTTTCAGTCCCATGCTTTAAATTTTTATCAGCATTGTAAAAGTTCCAGTGAAAATGGTATCTCAGTGCAATTTCAACTTACATGTTTTGAATGACAAAGGAAGTTGGACATCTTTTCATAGATTTGAAAGCCATTAATTAACTTTTTGGTGAATTTTTTTTCAATTACAATTGTTTTTCTTGAGGATTTTGATCATTTTACAAAAACTACTTATTTTCTGCAGTTTTTAACTTGAAGTACAGATTGAAGTTATTTTTTCTCAGTTTCATGTCATTTTGCTTCTCTTGTTTCTTGCCATCCAGAAACTTTCCAACTCAAATAACAAGTGATGGATTTTATTAGAAAGTGTAAATTTGACACAGAAATATGAAAAAAATAGAGTTATAATAGGGGAGATGAACAGAAAGATTGTTAAAATAAAACAGCCATAAAAATAGACATGAACACATATATACATTTGAGTAAGCTAAATCATTAATAAATGAAACCATCAAGACTAGAAGAAAATGGGGTCAGAGAGATAGTCCATTGGGTATGGTGCTGACCTTTCATACAGCAGACCCAAGTTTGTGCCCCCCCGCCCCCCCGCCGTAAGCTCTGAGGCCTCCGTGTGTTGCCCCAAAATAAAAACAAGAATAAAAATGAAAAGACTAGAAGAAAATATTGGAACATGTTCAATGCATTATAATGTGTTTATCAGTGTCCTTGACGAAAATAGTACCCTGTTTGCATGGCAGTAAAACATGTCTCTAGGCCTGAGAGATAGTACAGCAGAAAGGCACTTGTCTTGTGTGCAACCAGGTTTGATCCCCTGGTTTTGTGCAAAACCCCATATGATTCATGCAACTCTGCCAGGAGTGATCCTTGAGTGTAAAAACAAACAGGAGTAAACCCTGATTACACCCTTTTGTGGTTCAAAGAGCAACAGCAACAAGTCTCCAGTCATTGTCTGTTGTCCCTTACAAGCAGGGGGTAGAAGCAAAATATATAGATCAGAACCTTTCATGTATGTAATTTTAATCTAGAAGCATAACGCCTACGAATGAGATCGCAAAGAAAAGTTTTGAGGAAGGGAGGGAGGGAGGGAGTGGAATGGAGTGGGGGGTAAACAGGAAGGAAGGAGGAAGGGAGGAAGGGAGGAGAGAAGGAGTGAGGGAGGAAGGAATTTTTAAGAGACCCAAGGATAACTCAGCTCCCGCTTTGCAAGTGTGAGGTACCAAGTTTGATGTCCAGTGCTCTGCCATGGGACCCCTGGCACTGCAGTAGATCACTGGATTTTTCACCCACCACAGCCAGGTGTGTGCAAGCACTGCAACTAAAGCACCTGACCCTCAGCATACCTCACAAGCAAATCTGTGTGAATGCTGCAGGCGGACATGAGTACCCCCAGAGCACATGTGAGTGGGCACCACAGTGAGCCCTGATAAGCTCAAGTAGAATATACAATCACCTGAAAAAAGTATATGATTTCTAGCCAGCGTCTCAGTCAAGTGTAAGGGCACCATAATCAACTGTATAAGCCCCCAGGTCACCCAACAACAAAGGAAAAGGGGCATGTGCAGCTCAGTACTTGCAGGAGTTATCAAACTGATGCTAGAACTAGCTGAAATGGTAGAACATGTGTCTAGTAAAGGAGAGGCCCTGAGTCCAGTCTCTGGAAGCATATACTCTCTCCCTACCCTTTCTCTGAGCACCACCAGGTGTACTCAGGATAGTCCCTGAGCACCAAACCATCAGGTCCCCAATTTAAAATAAGAAACTATAATTTGGAGTTCAGGCAACAAACTGAAAAGTATATGGCATAAATGGCTTCTACAGTACATAAAAAGTAATGAATAAGATGAGAGAAAACGACAGACACAATATGCAAAATGAAGGACAATAGAGAATATATAAAGCAAGAGGTGTAAGCAGACAGAATAAATGTAGGATGTATTTTTTATTTTAATATTGAGAAACATTATCTCAACATAGGAAAGGAAAGATAACTTCCTAAATAGCAAGAACGATGAATTAGGATAAATATTGAAGTACAATGGTCAATATAAATCTTTTAATTTTACACACACACACACACACAAACACATGCACACCCCTTTCTCTGTGTAACTCCATTTCTAGGAATTTGTTCTCAGAAATCGTTTGGACCATAAAAAAGAAAGTTCATTGCAGTATTATTTTTAACTGCATAATATTGGAGAAACCCATCTGTCTTAGAATAAAAATTTGTCAAATAAATTAAGATTCATCCATGTATAATGAAGTGTTTTAGATCAGTATAACAAGTGATGAGATATATATATATATATATATATATATATATATATATACACGTTTGTACTGCAAAAGGAAAGTTATAATGAAAAGAAATTCAGCAATAGAATATGTGTGGGTTTTTACTTCTCTGTGATACACTGATACTGCATTAATGTTCATATTTATGTAAAATTACTAACAAATTGCCTTTACTGGTAAGATTGGATACTGTTTATTAATTTTCATATCTGTGTTTTATAATATTTCTTCCATGACACATGAGTAGTTTATACAATAAAATGAAAGAATGGGAGAAATAAAACATTTTCAGTTTTTTTTTTAATAACTCCAATTTTAGAACATTATCTTGGCAAAATCATTAAAATTTTCAGAGTTAAAAAACTGGCAAAGTTTTAGAGCTGGAGAGATAGTACCAAAAGTAAGGCACCGACCTTGCCTGTGGCTGCAGCCAAGATCCTGGTTCAAATCTCCCAGCACCACGTAAGGTCTCCTGAGCACCAGCAGGGTCCTTTCTGAGGGCAGAGCCAGAGTAGTCCCTCAAAAAATTGGTAAGATTTTAATAGTAAAAATCAAAATATTTTCTACAGTAACAAACAATGCTTTGTTTGTTAAAGCATTTCTGATCGTTGTATCAGAAAAACTTGTATAATGATATTAATGTCCCCAAGTAATCATCTTATTGTAGAGTACTTAGTAAAAGAAATTAGAATACTATGAAATTTTTAACCATATCAGTCTTTTTGTTTGTTTTGGCTTGGGGACCGTACTTGGTGACAGCCAGGGCTTCCTACGATTCTGTGCTCAGGGTTCAATCCTGGGGGTGCGCAGACCATTTGCAGAACCCAGGTTGGCTGCATGCAAGGCAAGCGCCTTACCCGCTGTACTATCTCTCCAGCTCCCCTGTCTTCGAATCGTGCTCATGAGGCTGTTTTCTTTTTATGATGAGTTTCCCCTTTATACTTCCCAAACTTTCACCAGTGAACAAGTACCTTTTTCCTTGGGAGGTGGGGGGGGGGGGGTGTGCAGTAGAAAACATATTTTAAGAGTCAAACTAGAATCATGTTATTGTTAACCATAAGAAGAAATGGAGGGGCTGGAGTAACAGTACAATGGGGAGGGCATTTGCCTTGCACGCGGCTGACCTGGGTTCAATTCCCAGCATCCCATATGGTCCCTTGAGCACTACGGGAGTAATTCCTGAGTGCAGAGCCAGGAGTAACCCCTGTGCATCGCCAGGTGTGACCCAAAAGGAAAATACAAAAGAAGAAGAAGAAATAGAGCATCTAGATTTAGTATCAAAACGAAACAGCCTTTTTCTTTGTGTGCATGTGTGTGTTTATAGTTCTTCACATTTTTCTGTGGCTCGACGGTGGGAAACTGACTTCATATTTGGTTCCTCCTGTTGTAGGTCGCTTCGGGTGAGTGCAATGAGGACACTGAAGTTTACAACATCACCCTGTGCACGGGCGACGAGCTCACGCTGATGGGGCAGGCAGAGATCCTTTACGCAAAGACTTTCAAGGAAAAGTCACGACTCAACACGATCTTCAAGAAGATTGGGAAGCTCAATTCCATCAGCAAGCTGGGGAAGGGCAAGATGCCGTGCCTCATCTGCATGAATCACCGGACCAATGAGAGCATCAGCCTCCCCTTCCAGTGCAAGGGCAGGTTCAGCACCCGCAGCCCCCTGGAACTGCAGATGCAGGAGGGAGAGCACACCATCCGCAACATCGTGGAGAAAACCAGGCTGCCGGTGAACGTGACGGTGCCCAGCCCCCCGCCCCGGAACCCGTACGACCTCCACTTCATCCGGGAGGGCCACCGCTACAAATTCGTCAACATCCAGACCAAGACGGTGGTGGTGTGCTGCGTGCTGCGGAACAACAAGATCCTCCCCATGCACTTCCCCTTGCACCTGACCGTGCCCAAGTTTAGCCTCCCTGAACACCTGGTGAAGGGGGAGATGTGGGCTGAGAGCCTGGTCCATCACTGGCTGGGCATCTGCCAGGAGCAGTTCGACATAGACGAGTACTCCAGGGCTGTGCGTGACGTGAAGACCGACTGGAACGAGGACTGCAAGAGCCCCAAGAAGGGCCGCTGCTCCGGCCACAACCACGTGCCCAGCTCCCTGAGCTACGCCCGGGACGAGCTCACCCAGTCCTTTCACCGGCTCTCTGTCTGTGTGTATGGCAACAATCTCCATGGCAACAGCGAGGTAAACCTCCACGGCTGCAGGGACCTAGGTGGGGAGTGGACCCCCTTCCCTCACGACATCTTGCCCTACCAGGACCCCGGGGACAGTGGCAGTGACTACCTGTTCCCAGAAGCCAGTGAAGAGTCAACGGGCATCCCCGGGAAGTCGGAACTCCCTTATGAGGAGCTGTGGCTGGAGGAAGGCAAGGTCAGCCATCAGCCCCTCACACGCTCCCTGAGCGAGAAGAGCAGATGCGACCAGTTCAGAGGCTCCATCCGGGCCCAGTGTGCCACAGCTCCCCTGCCCGGCCCGGGAAGTCTTGGAGCAGCAGTGAAGTCTTCAGAGATCGCCCTACCTCCACCTCCAGTGCCTCCCAAATCTGAAGCCGTAAGTCATTTCTGTTTGGGCGGCACGGGCCAGCCCCTCATCCTTGCTTGGTAGAAAATAAATCTACTCATTTATTTTCTCCCCTAAAGAAAGGAAAAACTCCCCCATGGAAGATCATCAGAAGGTGCAAATATCCTTCCTTTGAAGCGACAGAAATGCCTGCTAACCTATTTGTACCAGTTAGAAGTTAGAGTTCTCTTCTTTTGGGGAAGACCTCAGAGGGCTTTGACAGCTTCCCAGAGAACAGATACTAGAGAAAGAAGAGGAGAAATTGGGAGCCCTGCACAGAGATGGGTAATCTGTTACAGTAAAGTAAAAAAACGTAAAGGCCCTCCCGTTGATCATTGATTTGCTCGAGCGGGCCCAGTAACATCTCCATTGGAGACTTTGTTGTTACTGTGTCTGGCATATCGAATACTCTCGGTAGCTTGCCGGGCTCTCCGAGAGGGGAGGAGGAATCGAACTCGGGTCAGCCATGTTGGCTGCGTGCAAGGCAGACGCCCTACCCGCTGTGCTATCGCTCCAGCCCTGTTACAGAGGTTACAGATATTGGTGCCTAGCAGCAAGAGCCATAATACAGCACATAGGGCACTTGCCTTGCACACTGACCAACCTGGGTTCAATCCTCAGCATCCTGTATGGTCCCCTGAGCACCACTAGGAGTAATTCCTGAACCCAGAGCCAGGAGTATGCCCTGAGCTTCACCAGCAGTGACCCAAAAAGCAAAAAATAAAAGCCAAAGGAAATATCAGAGCCTGAATCGCCACACTTGGTAACAGCAGAGTGTAGGGAGAAAGTGTTTTCAGTGAAACATGTTTTGGAGGTATTTCCTGTTAGATGGGATATAGGTAATGAGGGAACCGTAAATTTAGGAAAACTCTTAAACATTTAGCTAGAGTAGCAGAGTGACTCTAAATGTCATTTACAGTGACAGGGAGGCTGAAAGAGGAGTACATTTATGTGGGGAAGGAATGAATCGAGAGCCATTCGTGTCTTCTGTGACCCTCCTATTGGGCCCAGGTTGCTCAGAGATCAAAGTGATGCAGTGAGCTAATGAACACATACATACAGGGGTATGGTGCACACATGAGCAGAACCCATGACTGATGTGGTTCTTTATTGCTTAACCAACTCTTTCAGACATCATGGAGGGGAGGGCATCAAATTTAGTGTAAAAAGGTCAGTACAGTATGACAGATAGGTTCCCCCATTTTGACCATTATCTTTGGTTGGCAGACTCCAAACCTTTGCTACTCATTTTTGATCATTGGATTTCATTCTAAAGGGCAAAAGCACTAAAGAACACTGGATGTAATTCTGTTCTCTAGTTTGACAGTATTTATTACAATGATATTCTGTTTTTGTCTATCTCCAACCAAATTTTTTAAAATCTTACATAAATAAGAATAAATATTTTTTTATTTTATAAAATAAATTAAAATCGAACCCATCTGGCTGAAACACAGATGGGAAAGAGGGAGGGAGGGAGGGAGGGGAAAAAGAGAGAGGGAGGGCCAGTCTCTGTTCCCACCAGGTGATCCAAGACACATCTCTGGAACCCTAGGCCTGTGCAGAATCCCATTTCATGAGCAAAAGATTTTTGGTCTGCAGACTAGAAATAGTCATCAGTTAGACCTGGATTCTGGGACCTGTCTGTTCTACAAGGAAGCCGACAGATGAAGAGATACGATTATGATTAGGTCGATTAAAATGTAATAAGCAATAGGCAAGATACTGATGTTAGAGATTGGCAGACGGTCACTGGATGGGGAGAGTAGATAGCTGGCAGTTCCAGTTGGGCATTGAATGCAAGATCCCTTCGTGAAGGTCATAGCAATTTAGAGGAGCACAGAGAATGTGTCTTCACTCATTAAAGAGCAGAGAATGAGGGGGAAAGATAGAATAGCCTGGGGAGAGGGGCAGAAGCTGGGACAAGTGAGGAAAACCAAGTTCCTCAAAATAAGCTGTTCCCGAGGTGTAGGACAGAAAGCCAGGAGCAGTTACGAGCAGCCTTCTTAAAGGTCAGGGACCGTTCCTCCAGGCAGCAAGATTTGTCTCCTGCTGCAAAGCTTTCTTGAGAGAAGGTCACTTCTGGCTCTTTGCCCCAAGATACTCAAACGCCCATGATGGTGCTGGTCTGCACTTGTGCTGTTCCTTAAAGGATTTACTTAGGGGAAGTGTTGGAGGAGTCAGAATCCATATATATGAGTGTTCCCAGCCCCTGAAAGGACAGGTAAAGAGTAAAGGAGCACCCCTTAGTCATGTTAGCAGTATCTCACTTCAGTTCTCTGCTTCCTGTTGCTTACCGGTTGGAGCCCTCGTCTTTAACAGTAACTTGACCATCTGGGGCCTTTTCAGCAGAATGGTCCCTTACCTCTGGACATAGCAGCTGGGGCTTGTGTGTGCTGGGAAATTGACTCATCCAAGATGGTCACACCTCGAGTTTTTATGTAACTCACTCTAAGGGGCAAAACTAGCACCACTTGTTTTTCTGTGCCAAATGGAAAATAAATGAGACCATAAATATTAAAAGGCGCTGTCTTTGACCTGGGAGTTAAAAGAAAAATGCCAGTATTGTGTTGGAAACGAAAGCAATCCTACAGAAGAAGAATCAGTGTGGGCTTTCAGTTTATACTGTCTTTTCTTATGACATAAGAGAATCTTTTCAGAATATGTCCAATGTTTATGGAATTCTAGCATCATAAAGTTTTTTTATAAACACCTGAAATCATTTAATTACTGAAAAAAAATTTAATGGGTATTTCAAGTGAAGTCATGTTTTTTTATTGGGTCTGTGGCCATGAAATGAATTTTCCATTTTTAGGATGTGCGTGGGATCCAGAGAACGTCATGATCATTAGATGTGGCTTCAGCTTATAATTTTCAAAAGGGAACTTTAATAAAACATAAATGCAAGTGTTCCCGCAGAATTCAATAAAGCTTCTTTGGATAGTTACAGCGGAGTGAGTCCTGGGAGAAAAAAGGTGGTGTCGAGTCTAATAGCTTTGTCACCTGGTAATTAGAGTGGCGATAAGCTTTCAAGTGAGCTTCTTTCAAAGGAGGCATCATCTGGGATGGTGACAACTCCCCTCACGTCTTTAGGAATGGAAGGTGGTAGGGCGGTGGAACAGTGCCCAAGAGAGTGTGTCTTGCAGAGTAAAGGAAGTGAAGCTGGTAGTTGACAAATGAACCCTGTTCATCGCAGCCCTTGATCCTGACAGGCTGGCAGCCCCACTGCCCTGGGGGTCGGCCTGTTTGTTTCCTTCTGGCTCTTCCAAGCTTCCTGCTTCACTTTCCCTGTCCTAAGTTGTCACACACATGCTGCGTGTCCCCGAGTCTTGATGGTCCTCCTTGGCTTTCTGTAAAGGCCATCATCAGTTTCTCTTGTGTCCGTGATGCTGCTGCCCCTGATTTCCGCATCGGGCTGCAGCTCTGGGATCATCTGGGTTGTCCTTGGGGAGTTCCTTACTCCAGGGTGGAACCGGATTCTGGGGCCAGAGAGAATATCTGCAGTGGGGGAAGCTGTCGCTTTGTATGGAAGGTGGCGGTTCAGGATTGTGCTCTAGTCCTTTTGGATCTTTGTAACGGTCTTTTGGGGTTTTTTGTTGTTGTTGTTGTTGTTCTTGTTCGTTTAGGGGGAAATACTCCCAGTAGTGCTCAGGAACGACTTCCAATTCTTTGTTTAGGGCCACTGCTGGCAGTTTCTTGGGACCATATGGTGCTAGGGGCCGAAGGAGGGGGACAAACCTGGACCTTCTGCCTGTAAGGCATAGTTAGGCATAGGCTCAGCCCTTGAGCATTTCTCTGGCGCCTCTTTTGGTTTTTGAATTTTTGAGGCAGCGTCGGGGGGGAGTTGTTTTGTTTTTCACAAAAACTTCGTCTCCAGAGTATAGCAGCTATGGGCGTCCTAATGGGAATGTTCCAGGAGACTCTAACAGGCAAAGATGAAGCCACAGGATGCTTTGAAACTGTGGCAGAGGAGCCCAGGATTGGTGATATTTTTCACTTTCAAAAATATGTGTTCAGGGCTGCAGTGATGGTACAGCAGGTAGGGCGTTTGCCTTGTACTCGGCCAAACCGGTTCAATTCCCAGCATCCCATATGGTCCCCTGAGCACCACCAGGAGTAATTCCTGAGTGCAGAGCCAGGAGTAACCCCTGTGCATCGCTAAGTGTGACCCAAAAAGAAAAAAAAATATTCAGAGAGATAGTACAGTGGGCAAGGCATTTTTCCTTGCACATGGCCATGCCAAGGTCAGTCCCCAGGACTGTGTTTGGTCTCCCAAACACCGCCAGACGTCATCCTTGAGCACAGAGCCAGGAGTCCTCAACAAAAACTCAGAAATGACTTGGCCCTCCTAAGTGGCATCATGATTAACATAAATCCTTATTGGTGTGTATGTTAATTCGTACCCATTATTCTGTCACGTTTATATGTCCATCCACTATTTTTATTTCCTGAGTATTGAGTGATAAATCTGAACTATTTTTCCAGATACATCCTAAAAATGTAAAAAGCTTCAAGAGGGAGCTTTATTTCCTACCCCTCTTTAGAAGGTGCTGTTTTGAAGAGCAGTAATGGCATGCTTGATATTGTATGAAATTCTTTAAGTAGAATGTTTGGACTCCCAAGCTGCCATGGTCTGTGTAGTAAATGACCAGTCATTAAAAGTCATTATCAAAATTACAGGATTACAATTCTCCTAAAACCGGGCATATAGCAATAATCAACATAGGTACCCTAGAATCTAGAGATTAATGCCCTCCATCTGTCTTCAACCACAAGCAGAAGTATAGTCACTCTTGGTTGGTTGTTAACATTACAGCAATTTCTGAGCTTCATGAGAGGGAAACCATAAAAGGTTGTGAACCACTGGCTTAAACCACATTTTACTGCTGCATTGCAGAATCTGTTAACCTTTGCAATAGTCAGGGCTGCCCCCACAGCCTAGGAGAATCGGGGCATAAGGGATTGAGTTATAAAATGAATTGGTAGCATAA